ATTGATATTATGAAGATAGTAAATGAATTGACTTCAAATGAGTAATAATATTGTAAAAAATATTGGTTTAAATATTTATTATAATTTACATTGTGTTAGGATTTCCAAATAGTTTCTCTTGAAGTAGCTCCTATTGCCAAGTAACCCTGCAAGATGGTAATGAATGAGAATGAAACGAGACCATCAATTGTTGAGAGTCACAAACACAAAATTCAAGGACTAAGCCTTTAAAAAAGTCATCATTAAGAAGGAGTTAAATGTTTAATTTCTACGGATTTAATTTTATTTTTATTTATATGTAACTTTTTTTAATATTTAGTTATAAAATTATTTGCTGATATTTTAATATATTTGAACTATTATATTCTCTTCCAATGTTATGTGAGTGGACAAGATTTTAAATATATAAATTTAGCTTTTAAGTTATTTTAAAAAATTTCTTATCACACTTTGATTTAAGTCCTTCATTAATATTTCTTTCTTTCAAATAACTAATATTTTTATTAGTAATAATATTAACATATACTAATTAATTTTAAACTTTCAAAGAGTTTAAATATTATTATATTAATATGTATAATTTTATATTTGTCGTAATATTTGTTTATGTTTTATATGTGACTCATAAATTTTATATTATATCAACATGTATAATTTTAATTAATATAAGAATTTATTTTTGTATTTAATATAATTATTCTTCTCTTTTACTTTCTATTTAAATCTTGATTAAAATTTTAAAATATATAAAGTATATAAAAACTTACATATGAAAATTTATTTATCTTATTTTTCAATCTATTTATATTTAATATTATTCAATATAATATAATTTTATTGTTATATATTTTTTATTTTTAAATTATAATTTATAATATTAATATATACTAATATATAATATAAACAAATTTATGTGACATATAAATATATTTACTAATTTATAATTAAATTATTATTAATAACATTTTTAATGTTTAAAGTCATATATAAATTATTTTTAACTGTTAAATTGATTTTTAATAGATAATTTATTTTAAAAAATAATCAAAATTTTTTATTTTATAAATTTTTTTCTGTTATATTAAATATAATAAATTTTATAACTAAATTATATATATATATATATATATATATATATATATATAATGCTCGAGCATATTTACTAAGCATAAGAGAATTAATCTTTTTTTCCTAAATTTTGTGCTATATAATTTTGTAAAATAAGATATATTTTTTTAGTATTTATAAATATAATAAATATTTATTTTATTTTTTCAATAGTTTTAGTCTTACAAAATCTGTTTTTAGTATATGTACGGGTCACCTTCCTAGTTATTGTTACAATTATTATTTCTTTCTAGTATTACATAGTCAATTATTTAAATATATGATTTTACACTTCGTATATAATAACTTAAATATTTGATAAATTTTCAAAAGTAAAAATTGATCAACTATTCTCTTATACATATTTTAGTTATAAACATTTCTTAAATTTATTGATCAATGTGTATATATATATATATATATATATATAATATAAATTATATTTAATTTATATTTAAATAATCTCTTTTATTAAAAAATAATCTGAAGTAAATTGATTTGCTTAATATAAAAATAAAGCCCAGGTACTGAAAGCATGCATATGAAACAAAAATTATGTTGATAAAAAAAAACAACAGAAACTAACCCGAGAAAGACGGCCCACTGAATCATTTTATTTTCCGTTTACATACATGCCTTTAAAGCCCATTACCTTCTGATAAAAAAAAAAACCCATAGTCAATTTGATTTATGAGCCGAATTTTAAACTCAAAATAGTTTTAAATTATAATGATAAGTCATTTGTGCAGTTTATAAAAACAATTGATTTTTTTTTACAAAATTATACTTTGGGTTACACATAAAAAAAATAGTAGCATTATATAATATATGTTAAAAACGTGTATTTTAATTAATTGTGCAAATTTTAATTAAGTTTAGAAACTTACTCCAAAAGAAGAAAATACTATCCAATTTTGATATTCTTTAATTATAAATTAAAAAATATATTAATCACAATATTTTTTAAAAATTTATTTGTTGAAACTCATGAAATTTTTTTAAAAGGTTAACTTTAGTTATTTTTTATTTATGAATTAAAGATGGAAATTATTAACAATAATATTTTTTTTGTTTTAATAATAAGATAGAAACAAATATAATAAAAAAACTTAAAAAAAATAACTAATACACTAATTGCCAAAAACAAGTACAAACCATCTACCTTAAATGACATTAACTATAACACTTAAATTATAAAAACGGATACAGAGATATGCACCGTCAAATTTTCAAATGGATTTTAACATGATCAATGAAAGTGATATGGCTCATCAACAAAACTGCACATAACTTGCTTTATATATATAAAAAGCATAATGAAGACGATGGACAAGCAATGAAATTTATATGGGGTTTAAGGCGAAATATAAAAGATAAGTGAAAACCATGAAAAAGGGAATTACTTGGTTTGGTGAATAAAATCAGTCTTAGAAATGCAAAGAAGAACAACAAGAAATGAAGGCTGAATAGGGTCAAACTTATTTGTCCCAATCATCACAATTGTTTAAAGCAAACTGTTGCCTTGACAAAGATTTGAGATTACATGTAATATTAATCAATTATATTATTTGTTTTCCTTATGAGCTTCCTACAATTACTTTAAACTTCGGATATCAAAATCTCTTACATTTAAATCCATAAGTCGTGATGATCCTTGAGTCAAGATTCTCACTAACATATATAACTATTATATATACCTTTGTTTATTTTTGTCGCATCATCTTTATACCAATTCAAAGTTCAAACGCACGCTTGCTCAAAGCAAAATGTGTAAAACAAACCGATCATAAGATAATCGTCAGACCCGCAAGAGTTTGCATATACAAGAAAGAGAAACGATATTTTATTTTTATTTTTACTTTAACTTTACACTTTCTTTCGTGAGAGAGATAGATCGATATATTCTATTTACAATTTTTTTTCTTTCCTTTTTTCTCAATAGAAAAGAGTGTGTGATTGGGTAATGTATAGAAATATTACCGTTTCTCTCATATCTACTTATGAGTTGTGAGAAGAGTCTAAAAGGGAAAAAAAAAAAAACGAAATGTGATAAATAAAAAATAAAAGATAAAAATGAAAATAAAATATTTTAAAAGCGTGAAGAAATCAAAATCCTCAAATAAAAGAGTTAAAGAAAAACATGTTTTTTTAATAGAGTACCATCAGAGAGATAAACAAGCAAGGATTGATGTAATTGCTCTTAAGATATGAAAATAACTCAGTAAGAAGAATAATAATGGAAAAAACATAGCTCTGCCAATCTCTGACACCATATGAGTGCATCCACGGAAATGCTCCGCTTATAACTTCTTATGTTAGGGTATCAAATTAGCATATGACTTGTTTTACATATATATATATATATATATATATATTTATTTATTTATATATATAATGAGAGAGAAATATTATAATCAGTTTTTAAAATTGATTTTAAATAATTAAAAAATGTAAATAGTATTGTTTTAATTCAAATTTATAATCTAACTATTATCAAACAGATTAATTTTATTATTTTATAAAATTAATAGATAATTTATCGTGTATTTTTTTATAATATAGTGACTGTGTATAGAAAAAAGTACTACTCATGAGAAGAGAAGGTTAAGACTTGCCATGATATTCACGCCATATAGATTCCCTCTTTATCTATTTCATTTGTTGTTGCAGAAGATACATACATGAGCAATGATTTATGATATCTCGATGTGGGATTTCAGAAACAGAACGAAACGGGTAGCGAAAAGCATGAATTGGGCCTGCAAAAGCACCTAAAAAGCAACGTTGATTGGAACACTAATAAGCAGTTCCCTCTCCTCACTGTCCCTCTCTGTTACCTCCTTTTTCTACACAGAACTGTTTCACTCTTTTGTCTCCCTCTCAAGTTCAGTCTTCACTGCTCCACCACCGCCACTTTCTCTTTTGACCAAACCCTTTATTGGTTTTTTCCTCCTTCTTGATCTCTGAGAATTTCTGTCACACTCTCTTCCTGTTCCTGCTTTGTCTCAACCATGATCTTACTAATGGTAGGCCTCCCCCATTAAAGGAAACTGTTAATTCTATGTTAGTCCCATCCCATGTGTGCATGTTTCATGCACGTATATGAATTGAGATGCCCTTGAGCCTCGTGTAGTGACTTGTTCGATATTTGGAGATGTTTAACTATATTTAGTATATAATACACCCTCGTATCTTCAACTTTTCTTCAAACAGAAATTTTAGATTTAACATCACATAATCCTTGTTAATTAACACCCTTTGAGCTTTGATTTTCTCTTTTGTCCTCTATATTCTCATTGTCACCAAATAAATAACTCCTTTAACAAGCATTATGTTTCATTGAAGAAATTCCTTACACTGAATGTAATGTAATTCTTATACAATACACAAACCATGTGAGCTAATATCATTTTCAGTTTAACAATAAATTTGATTTTTAATACTAATAATTGTCAGTATACAAGTAATGAAAAAAAAATTATAATTACACGTATAACTAGAAAACTTCAAACTTATTTATATTTATTTATTCAAACAATACATTTTTAATTTATTTATTCTTATTCTTCTTATTTACTTTCCTCTCCATATTTCACTCCTTACTCAAACAGACCACTTTCACTATTATACTTAAATAGGACGTAGGCTTAATTTTAATAGCAATATATCTTCTTTTCATTTTGCTACTTCACTTGTTTCCTTGAATTCATTGATGTATGACTATATATACTCCTTCAATCCAACTGTCCACTTTAAACAAGCATTTCCACTCTACCTCTCCTCTCCTCTTTTTTAATCCATTTCTCTCTTTCTCTTCACTTCACTAAACATAAGTAGCAAGATAAAAATAACACACTTTTTTTCTGAAATTAGAAGTCTCAATAGTTGTTCAAATGTCAAGAAAGAGCACAAGGGTGTGCTTTAGCCCTGATGTCAACGACAAACCCACCCTCTTCCTCAAACATGGCCTCGATGGTAGTAACAACAACGCCGAGAAAGTTTCAAGAAATAGGAAGAGGATTATTGGAGCCTGTGCTTTGAGATTGCCTATAGACCCAAAATTGCCTCCTGTTAGGTTCCTAATGCGGCTAGGAACAAAGGTTGCAAGTGCTATAAGAGATGTTTCTTTGAGAAGGAGATCTTCCAGGAAAGTTTCTTCATCCACTCTGGTCAGGTCACGTTCATTATCAGACCTCACAGATTCACATCGAGCCGAAACCGTAGAAGATTGCATTGAGTTCTTACATTCCTCTTCATCTAGGGAGAGACCAAGAATTCTGTAAGGATGCATGAGAATTCTTATGCATGTTAGGGGCAGAAGCATATGCTTTATGCCTTGTAGATTTCAATTAACATGTTTAACTAGCGAGAAAAGAGAGTTTAATCTTTGCACTATGCTACTGTTGAGTTTGAGGAGAGATTCTCATATTAACATTAGATTAATCATAGCTTGAATTGCATGCAATTGCAGTGTTGCAATCATTAGAATACATCAATTGTTTGTCCTTCTAATTCGCCTCGCTTATTTTTAACGGTAGTCAGAAACGAATCCAACTCGTATCTAAAATTTTATTTCAATGCACCCTCACAAATTATGACATTGGCAAATTCTCGCCTCAGAATATGTATCCTCAATATAAAAGTTAGGCCTAACTGTACTTTTGGACGATATTTGAGATCTTAACATACTTCTCCTATGTTTATAATTGAGTATTTGATACATGTAACTTGCAAGATTAAATATTTGCGAGTGATCTGACCTTTTAAGTTGGAAAAACTTTGATATCGTATTAGAAAATTAGACTAAATTTACTCTTAAAGTTAACTCAAAACTAAGATATTTACTTAAACCTTATAAGAAGTATTCTCCTTCTACTTTTAAGTCAATTAAAGACATTTTGACATTGTACATACCTGTGTATAGTGTATATACGTCATTGACATAGATGAAGTCAAAAAGAAACAACTCACAGGCAAATGAGTGAACTAGTTAATTTTCTTTTGAAAAAATGATTTTCAAACTTATGTATCATTACACATAATTAAAAAATAATAAATTAAAATATTTAATAGTATTAATATATTAAATTTTATAATTTAAAATATATTTATTATAAACAAATTCTCATTATATATAATATCACACTAGTTAAAAAAATTAAAAACTATATTTTTTCTAAGATTTTGTTATGGAGGCGCATGCATCTGTCTCCTTAGAGAGCTTTAAGCTCCAGTCTTTGTACGTACGTTCTCAGATACACCAAGCTAGAGTACTACATTGTGGCTTGACATAATTATTAGATAGTCGAGGCTTTTAAACCTCTTAATTATGTGAATGAAAAAAAAAACTAATTAAAGAAAATTATACCTATCTTAATAATCTTTTCACCTGAAAAAAAATCTCTAGACATTAAGTAAGGGAATATTCTATATATATATATATATATATATATATATATATATATATATATCCGGCGTCACAATAATTGTTTTCTTAAGCTCTTTTTAAAAAAGTAAAATTCGAAGATAAGTTACCCAATGGAAAATTAAGTTGAGCTTAGTTGGCCAAGATACTTTCTAAATCAAATAATTATTGATAATGGAGCATGAGTAACTACAATTAATTAAGTCACCTCAATTTCAATTGGTCAAGAGCCTAAGATGAAGTTATTAGCCACTAAAGTTGCTGAAAATTCTTGTCAAGATATGTACATGTACATCACTACCCCACATGGCTGACAGAGAAGCATTCTCGTGTATCTATGCTTCCTTCTATTCTGTCCAACATTTTAAAAGCCACTGTCAGCAATATCCAGCAAATCTGGGAATATCCCTATTGATATCAACTTTACAACAACTATTTGACTAGAACATGAAAAATCCAACCCAAATTCCTTGTTACCCAAAAAAAGTCCAACAACTATGCAAGACAAGTCATACTCCTCAATGCAGTTAGCAGTTAAATATGAACTATGATGTAATTCACCACAAGCTGGTAGGTGCGTTACACTTAAACTACAAACCATGACGTGACTCTTGGAAAAAATTTAAAAAGCAACCTAAACTATTTAAAGTAATACACCCAAAAAAAAAGGTTAGTAGAATTTGATTCTTGCTATGTCTGGTGCAGTGGTTGCAAAGCCCAATGAAAAGAGAACAAAAGAATTGACCTAACAATTGTTTCCCCGTGACTACATATTTATCTTGTCCTTTTTCTTCCTTGCCTTGTTTTTGTTGAAAGAATTTCACTAAAGCAACAGTAACATCACAATCAACATCCAGTGTAACAGTTACAAACTTGGACGGTTATCTGTAAAATAATTTGTATTAGCAAAAATAGTGACCAAAGGCAATGATGGTATAAGAAAAGAAAGTGTTAAGGTTCACACGTTTGGTAATAATTACCAATTCACTAATCATATCAAGTTCAGGAAAAAAAAAAGAAAAAAGAAATTCCACATGGCATTATGAATAAACAGTGCTTGGCATGATCAAGAATCCAATGAGAGATTTTCAGGTTATTGGGTTCCTCGACCAGAAGCTTTTTTGACTACATAATAGAGGGCCAATGGGGTGACACATGACCCAAGCTCTTGGTATATTCCACTAGCAATTTTAGGTAGTGGATTTGAGTCATTACAATCGTGCCCACCCTGATCCCCGCAAGCTAGAAATGGAATTGTACAGTTTACACACTCACTAGTCACTACGAAATTCTTCATACCCACATGAATTTCTTTAGTTACTTGATAATACCATATACTAAAGCCATGATCACTAGCATTACGAGATCTACCATAGCACATCTGAGCGACTTGCACAATTAAGATGATGAGCTGATTTACATGTCTGATTTAAATTATTTTTAATAAAATAAATTTCTAAAATTGAAAAAAAATCATTTCTTTAAAATAATTTGATACAAATTTATGATAACTCTATAAATTTAATAGCCTATGAATTTCATGGTTCCAAGTTGAGGGTTGCGTATCTCAAAGGATTCCTTAGATTAGATTGAGTCTATCATCCTTAGGGTCAACCCAACTATTTAAACATGTAAATGCTCGAGTCCAATGATATGCATAGGAGCTAATTAAACTTTTGGGGGCCACGTCCTTTCTACATATAAGCAAATTTTACTCTAACATCTTTGCATAAACCTCATCCCATGATAGATAAACCTCTATTAATTATGAATCAACTTGAAGCTTTTCTATGCGAGCAAGCTTAATCAATATCACCCAGATTCAAGTAGAAATTGTTGGAAATTCGGAGTAATAAAAAAACTTGATTCATCTCATGTTCATGATTTCTTTTAATAGTCAAAACAGAAAATAAAAATAATTTATAAGAGTACCACTAGCAGAGGTACTGGAGGTACACTAAGAACTAGAACATAATAACAGAATCCCCCTCCCCGTGCACGGATAATTCAAGCATTCCATTCCGTAACAGAAGTTAGTGTAATGAAACCAAAAACATTTCCTACATATAAATATGAAACTAAATAACTAACCCAATGCATCAGACAACAATCTTTCCATATATACCTAAGACTCCAAGACCATCTATGTCATACTGCACCGCGAGACTGCAATTACAATTAGCACGCCTTAATGCATTCTGAATGTGTTGGTATGGATTCATGTTTATTTCAATACTAATAGTTGTAACGTTTACGTACCTTGGATGCATGTTTACAAGTTTTTCATGATCTTTCCAAATTAACAATCTCTAATGGACTAAATATTAGCATGAGAAAAGGATAATGAAAGCTCTAAGCACTTTTCCATTCAACCAGTTCCATCAATTCTTCTCCATCCCTGCTTGAAATCATTGTGCAAACTTAAATTTATGTTTATCAATTTTAAGGTTTATATATAACATTTTTCTTATGCATGTATCTTACATTTAATACCTTATTTCTAGCAGTTGTGTAGTTTCAAATTTCAATGCATTTTGTTGTTGTTAACATAAAATAAGAGTAGAAGGATAAAAATGTTTTGCGGAGAATACAACGATATTATTCACTTGCTCGTTTTAAATAGAGCTAGAGTCAAACATACAAAATAAAATATCTCTTATTTTTAGGCACGACTAACAATAATTCAATCTGATAAATAGAAACAAAAACTCCTAATGACTAGGTCTTAAATAACAGAAAATTAAAATTTAAAAATTGGATAAAACAGCCACGTGTGCAGTTGTTGCAGACATATTTTCAACAAATCTCCTCCTTGCCCCAATAGCTGCAAACACCTAATTTGTTTCTCAAAGCTTCAAATCTAGATTTTGGAAGGGCTTTTGTTAAAACATCTGCACTTTGATCTTCAGTTCTGCAATAAAGAAGTTTGACTTCACCTTCTCTTTGTACTTCTCTTAAGAAAAATAGCTTAATCTTAAAATACTTAGTCTTGCAATGAAAAACAGGATTATTTGAAATAGAAATAGCTGCTTGATTATCAACAAAAATCTGTGTTGGCTCTTTTTGCTCCATATGTAGATCAACAAGTATATGCCTTAGCCAAATAGCTTGATTCACAGCTGCAGTGGCTGCCACATATTCTGCCTCAGCTGTGCTTTGAGCCACTATATCTTGTTTTTTGGAACTCCATGAAAACATACCCGAACCAAAGCTGAAACAGTAACTTGTTGTACTTTTCATGTCATCATTTGAACCAGCCCAATCACTATCAGAATATACTTGAAACTGAAAATTTTGAGAGTGAGTGAACTTGATGCCATAATTTATAGTTCCCTTGACATATCTCACAATCCGTTTGGCAGCTTGAAGATGGACCTCACTAGCACAATGCATAAATCTTGAAAGGACACTTACTGCAAACATGATATCAGGTCTAGTTGCACTAAGATACATTAGGCAACCAATTATACTTCTATAATGATATTCATCTACCTTATCGGCTCCATCATCTTTGCTGAATTTTTCTTTTTGGTTCATTGGTGTATCAATGCTTTTGCAGTCCTCCATGCAGAACTTCTTCAGTATTTCTTTTGCATATTTTTTTTGACATAGAAAAACTCCATCTTTTTCTTGCTTCACCTCCATTCCCAAAAAAAAGGACATTAAACCAAGATCTGTCATCTCAAACATTTGAAGCATTTTAGCTTTGAACTCCATCATTAGTTTTTCATTAGTGCATGTCACAAAGAGGTCATCAACATAAATAGAAACTATAATTAAATCACCTTCTACCATTTTCACATATAATGTAGCTTCATTTGGACTTTTAATAAATCCAAGTTTTTTAAGATAATCATC